GCTCAAGTGGTAGAGCGCTAGCCTTGAGCTGAAGAGCTGAGGGACAGCGCCCAGGCCCAGAGTTCAGGCCCCATGACCGGACCCAAAAAAAAAATAAAAAAAGAAACTTAAATGTCTGTTCTGCCTAAGCCTATTTTACTGGGCCTCACACTTGTTAGACAGACACTCTCTCCTGAGCCATGACTCTAACTAGTTTTGCAAGTCTTTAGGAAGCCCCTTCCATAATATGTGATCACTAGAAGTTCACATGTGTGTCTATGTCTGTATACACATGAATACATGACCCTTCACCATACTTACATTCCCACTGAGATTCTGTAGCAAGGCCAAAGAAAGTAAAAAAAAAAAAAAGAAAAGGCACCTAGGCACATAGATTGAAAAGGAGATAGAAAAGGATCACAAATGGTGTCATGTTTTTTCCTTAAATAGCTTCTGGTTATAAGTTCAGGCTTCATTTACATCCATATCTTGATTATTAAAAAAAATTGTTTTCCTCTTACTGCACTCCCCTCCCCCAATGTATGTCTTTACTATTCTCTAGAATTCTCAATTAAAAAAACAAAGCATACAGGTAAAATCTCAGAAGACAAACTCTCGAAGTACCATTAGCTTGCTGTCTTATTATAGAGTTGTCAGGAGACTGCATTTCCTGCAGCCACTGCTTGTCTGGCTGGCATCTTGTGAGTGCTGCAGACTCAATTCTGTAATGATGCTTGTAACACAGCCTGACCCCAGTTGCTCTGGGTTAGGATCAGCCCTCTTATGCTGGCTGTGCAGATTTTACACTGAGTCTTACAATGTGTTGTATTTCAGGCTCCTCTAGTATAGAAAAATAAGGAAAGTATAATTTGTTGACTTTTATAGGAGAAAATAAAAAAGGGTCATAAAGAGGGATCAGGAGCATGGCACATTTATTTAAATAATAAATATGCACTGGATGCTGGTGGCTCATGCCTGTAATTCTAGCTACTCATCAGACTGAGAGCTGAGGATCATGGTTCAGAATCATCCTGGGTGGGAAAGTCCTGAAGACTTTTATCTCCAATTAACCACCAGAAAACTAAAAGTGGCTCTATGGAGCAAAGGTAGAATGTTAGCCTTGAGCAAAAGAGCTCAGGGACAGCACCCAGCCCTGAGTTCAAGCCCCAGTCCTGGCATACAAAAAAATTTTAAAGTAAATAACACCGTAGTCCAGGTTCCAGTGGTGTGACACTGAGAGTATGCTCGTGTCTTTGCTTTTGTAGGTGCCTGTGAAGGAACCTTGGCTTGCTCTACCTGCCACCTCATCTTTGAGGATCACATTTATGAGAAATTAGAGCCAATCACCGATGAGGAGAATGACATGCTGGATCTAGCTTATGGACTAACAGACAGGTAAGACGAGGAGTGGGTCCTTATTATGATTGTCTTTTTCAGGCCCAGGTCTTTAGAGTAGAAAGTGTTTGTGTGTATCTGCCCCAAGTTGCATGTACTGCAATTGAGTTTCCTCTTGTCTTTGGAGGGAAGAGATGAAAAATATTTGTATTCAAAAACATATTTAGGCTGTCTCTGTTACATGCTAGGCTATGGCTTAGATCCTGGGCATAGAATGAGCAAAAAAAGACAAAAGTACTAAAAGAAAAGACAGCGTCAGTCATACTGGTGAGCTGGAAAGATGTACCTTTTATTACTTTGTGTCTACTTACCTTCCCACCTGTGAGGGTGCTCTCCCAGGGGAGGGAGCAGTGGCAGGTGTACCCATCCATGCATGGCATTTCTCTCCACTGTCCCAAGTGGAACCCTTGCCAAAGGTTCCCTTTTATAAAGTAGAAGGATTGTAAGTTCTACATCTTAATGCATCTTCTTCATCTATTTTTACTCCAGGAATTAATATTTATCACAATTCAGTAGGATGGAATTCAGTGTAATGCTTTTTATAGTATTCTTGAAGGACGGATATAATAATTGAACAAAATTACAGTGGAAAATTTTACCTGTTTGAGAGAACAGACTTTTCAAAGACACTTAATATATAATAGTGATAATGTTAAGATGTCTGGTTCTTTTTCTTAGTGTACATTACAGTAAATTAATCAGAGCTTATTTTTTATTATTAATAGGTAGAGTTACTCTTAAACATGGTAAGATTTATACTGCAGGTGATGTTGAGTGATACTTACTATTTTTTAATTATCCATTCTTGGTTGCAGTCAAGGAAGATTTCTGGTTGCTTCACTCTTTCAGGGAGGGGTTGTACTTAGGGTGGGCTTTATTTAACTGTAACTTTGTGAGGCTAATGAAATTTAACAGCTTTATTAATATCATGTGTATGATGTAGCTACAGATGAGATTTCATTGAGTCCTCACCAAACTACAGTCACTTGCAAAGAATCATTCTTCTCATAGTTTATTTCCCTCTTTTGTTGTGTGATCAGGGTAGAACAACACATGCTTTGCATGTGCTAGGCCAGTGCTCTGCCACTGAGCTGTGTCCCCAGCTCTTATTTTCCACTTGATAGAGTGAAGACAGATAGAGAAGAGAAGCCTGGGAACATACTGAATACCAAAGCACCTTCAGTGACACATTCTCTGTCAACACCTTTTTTCTCTCCTAAAGAATAATGTAGAAAATACTTCCAATGACTGTATTATTTTGAGAATTGTGTTTCTTAATAAGAGGGTTCCTTTGTAGCTAACTGCTTGCCTTTTATTTAGGTAACATTTGTAGGTGTTTGTATGAATATATAATATTCTAAGTGAAAAGAAAAAGCAAATAAAGGAAAAAGTTGTGTTAGGAGAGTCATGGAATATAAAAAGTTAAAAAGGATCTAAGTAATTGTAGACTAGCCATAGAGATACCTTTATGGTATTGTAACCAGGCTCACAAGTCTGAAATGATTACAGCAGAGATTGTAAGATGCTTAAAGATGCAGCTTGATCTCAGAGATAACTACAGATAAGGGAAATTATGCCCTTGAAATTGATGGTTTATGTCTATGCATTTGTTCTAAATTTCTTATCTAAAAGCTTTAAAAAGTGTACTTTCTATAGTCATTTTGATGATCTGGGGTTGATTAATTATTTTCTGTTCTCTTATGTCCTCTGCTTATTTCATTGCTCGTCAGCTTTCTCACCAGAAGGTAATAGTTCTGTTGAATCAATTTGTAGATAGAAAATAAAGGCTAACATGAAGCCTGGCCGTACCAGACTGTTTCGTATTTATGGTCTGTTACCCTCTAGTTTATAGCTAGATAAAAACAGTCTGGTTATATCTGTTTTGATCTCATGAAAATCTAACAGGTTAATAAATTCCCTAACTGCTGTGGGTAAGGAAACACAAGAATGTCCTGAACTGCTGTGTACCGCCTTGTGACTGATGAACGTGAATACTAAAGCGAACCTCCACCCTCTTCTCACAGGTCACGGCTGGGCTGCCAAGTCTGTTTGACCAAAGCTATGGACAATATGACTGTTCGAGTGCCTGATGCAGTGGCCGATGCCCGGCAATCTGTTGACATGGGCAAGAACTCCTAACCTACAGTAAAAAAAATTTTCATGAACATTTCCTATTTTTATAATTATTTTCAGTATAATTAAATGAGAACCAATGTGGATGCATTTATTATTCAGACTAGCTTTACTATTGTAATTTACCTTGTATAACTACTGAATTTTGGTAGTACTGATAGTATATAGTAAATTATAAAGTGTCAGCTAAATAGTAAAAGAGAGCTATGTGTCAAGAACCTCCTGTATCTGACTTTATGTGTGTTTAGTGATTTTAGCACAATGTGACCACATCTGTCTGCTTCCCTAGAAGGAGAAGTTAGGAAAAGGTATTATTACTTCTGTTTGGTGTGGGTGAAGGAAGATACCTAAATGGTTGAAGTAGGACATTTAACTAATTAAAACAATCCACTGGAACCCGGATCTTATACTTGTGAGTTTTATGTTCATGCTGAAACTGGAGAACTTATGATCTTAAAGGTATAGCAGTGGTTAAACATAAATCTGTATGGAAAGATTTAATTGCACAGTAAAATGCTTTTAAGGCGTTTACTAACTTTCAAATATGTATTTCAAAAGGTTGATTCAGTAATAAGTCTGAACACAGGCATTGTAACACTGTCAAAGTTGATGTCTGTTCTAAATCAAGGGAAAAATTAAAATTAGATATCTTTATTCTTATCTAAGAGATACATAATTTTACCCTTGTAATCTTTTGAAAGTAATGCTGATTTGTAAATTACTGGCTATACAGAATGGAAATGTTAATGATTTGGGTCTCTATGTCCTGAGCCAGAGGATATGGTTAACTGCCATGCTACATGGCCTGGGCTGGACACTTTCCCTCCCCATGGGCCAGGGCTGCATGCCCTTCTCCTTTGTGGCCTGTGCGACCTCATAATGATGTCGCAGTCCCAGAGGAGGAGGGAACTCTGTGCCACATGTCAACATTGTTGTATGGAAGACACTTGAATCCTTATCGGTACTATAAATAAATTTGTAAAACATAACAGAGGGCTACACGGTGTGTTCTTTGGGAATATAATTGTTTAAAAAATTAATTTGGGCTAATTGTGAGGAAGAGCAGAAAAAAATTAGGTAAAAAAAAGTGGATAGGGCTGGGAAGGTGGCTCAGTGGTAGAGTGCTTGCCTCACATGCATGAGGCCCTGGGTTCCATTCCTCAGTACTACATAAACAGAAAAGGCCAGAAATGGCACTATGGCACTAGCCTTGAGCTGAATTGCTGAGGGACAGGGTCCAGGCCTAGAGTTCAAGCCCCATGACTGACAAAAAAAAAAAAAGAATAGGTAGATGAAATAGGTAGATGCATAAAGAACTTACATGAATCAAACTGATTTATTTGCCAAGTAGGATTTTAAATTAAACAGTATGTAGATAGGGGTTAGGAAGAACTTGAAGGGAGTAGTGAATACCCCTATATGGAGAAGGCTGTGCTTTTAAAGGTCTTAAAGCAATTTATTCATTTCATTAGCTTCCATGTTCTCTCTTTTTGTACTGGTACTGAGGCTTAAACTCAGGGCCTTGAACTCAGCTCTTGCTCTGCTTTTTTACTCACAGCTGAGGCTTTACCACTTGAGCCACACCTCCACTTCTGGAGAGGTTTTGCTAGTTAATTGTAGATAAGAGTCTCTGGGATTTATCTGTCCTAGCTTCCAGTCTTGATCCTCAGACAGGATCCATCAGTTCCCGACTTTCATATTCTTTTTTTTTTTTTTTTGGATCCGGTCGTGGGGGCTGAACTCTGGGCCTGGGCGATGTCCCTCAGCTCTTCATCTCAAGGCTATTGCTTTACCACTTGAGCCACAGCGCCACTTCCGGCTTTTTTCTGCTTATGTGGTGCTGAGAAATCGAACCCAGTGCCTCATGCATATGAGGCAAGCACTCTACCATTGAGCCAACTTCCCAGCCCCCGACTTTCATATTTTTGTCTCTTTGTATGGATCACCCAAATTCCTTTCCAGAGCACCTTGAATGATGGTACTCAGCCAGAACACTCCAACGTTTTCAGTCTAAATTATTTCAAATTAAGAATAGTTCAAATTAGTGGAGTCTGAACTTATTAAGTGGAAGATATAGTGTACAATTGGTTTAGCTAAGGGTTATTTTTTCAGTTTGAATAAAAAAAGATCCTTTTGTATTTGTGCATTCTAGGTAACTATTGATTTATCTGTTGCTGTCAAACAAATTACGCTAAAACTTGTGTGGCTTCACCAACAGTTTTGTTATTTCAAACAGTTCTTATGGGCAGAAATTCAGAGCACAGGGCAGGACAGCTAGACTGAGAGCACAGGTACTGAGATGGTGACTCCAGGCTTGGCCCCCCTGTGACTGCGGATGACTGCTGCGGTTGGGAAGGGGTTATTGGCTGAACACCCAGGCACAGCCTCAACCTCTGTGTCTTGACTAACTTGTAAGGGCAGGTACCTGAAAGGGAGCAAAAGCTGTTCCTGTTTTATGTAAGGTACATAGTGTCATTTCTACCTGACTTTTTTTTTTTTCTTTTCGTGTCCTGAGTCTTGAACTCAAGTCCTGGGCACTGTCTGTGAGCTTTTTTTTTGCTCATGGTCAACTCTATCACTTGAGCCACAGCTCCACTTGCATCTTTTTTTTTTTTTTTTGGTGGTTAGAATCTCATGGGCTTTTTGGCCTGAGTTGGCTTCAAACTTTGATCCTCAAGTCTGCGCCTTCTGAGTAGCTAAGGATTACAGGTATGAGCCACTAGCACCCCGTTGCACATAAAATTTAAAGCCACAAGCAGTGACAGTATTCTTCAGCTTTCTAAGCTTTTTAAGAGCTTAGTTTTTCATGTTATATTCTATCTTTGCTTTCTGTATTGTGGTAAAGTAGTTTGTTTTATTCTGTAACTCCCAACATTTTTGAGTCAAAGGGAAAAAACAGTGGGTAACTTTTCAATGTGCAGTGTTAGTTTCCCTTTCTTAGTCATTCTGCATCAAGAAAGGCATCTTCCTTTGAGCGGTACTCTGTAATTGTCAGTTATGTGCTAATACCTAATATTATATTTGGCTTTCACAGATAAAACCACAACCTGTAATTTGTGGGGTTTTTTGTTTATTTTTATTAGCTAATATTAGTTATGGGGGGAGACCTTCCCACACGTGTTTACAGTGTATTCCAATCAATCTCACCCCTCTATCACTCTCCCTGCCCCCTAAGTTAGCTTTTTTTAAGTGGACCATTCTAGGAATTTCTAAAGCTTTTGACAACTGTCATTGTGAAAATATTATCTCCCGGACAACTTTGCTATTTTTTTTCTGTGATAGCTATTTAAGTATTACATGGGCCATCTCTCTAATGATCTTTCAGCATTTATGAGAACAGTTATATTTCACTTGAAAAGTTGCCTTCTAAGGGAGATTTAGGTTCTGTTTCCCCATCTTGTATTTCCTTTTATAACTCTTGATTGCTTCTCCTTCCTTAATAAACTACCTGAGATTCTGTGGTAATCCCAATTCTGGATCAGAATTTGTTAGATGCCTATTAAAAACAATAATATGTGTTGCATGCCATTTTCCTAAAAATAGTATCTAAAACTAAATGTAGAGCACAGTGAAACATTGGAACTTTACATATAAACTTTGTTTCCTATTCAAGAAATATTAAAGAACAGAAACATGATCTTGGTAAAGCCGCAATAGGAATTCTTTAATGTGTCGGCACATCACATATCAAGTTATTTTTATCAGATTTTCTTCTGTTTATAAGTTTCTAGAAACTGAAAAGTTAGAAGAACAGCTGGCAGGAAGAAGGTATGGTTCCTAGCAGACACAAATAAATGTGGCTGTAACAGAATAGAATTGGTGAGTTAGAAGATAATCTATCAGAAACAATTTCCCAGAGGAGTCGATGGGGGAGAGTTTTGCTTGTAACCAACACACTGCTATCATTCCTTTCCTTTTCATTCATTTGCTTATCTAAGTATTATTTGCTATGTGATTTTTCGACTTGATTTGATACTATACAAAAAAGAGGCGGGTTGTGCCTTTCTTTGCTCTACTGGCCATTTCTGAAAGCATCAACACTCAGCTTGTTTGTCTCAGTGCTTGCTGAGAGTTGAATGTGTCTCCCAAAGTTCAGTCCCCGGCGCAACAGTGTTGAGATGGCCTTTATGAGGCAATTAGGTTATGACAGCTATGTCTTACGAAGGGATGAATGCCTTTATCCTGGAAGTGGGCCCCTAAGGAAAGGTTAACTTTGGGTCTCTTAGAATAAGCACTGTGCTGTGCTCAGTTTTGTAGCTGCAATGACTGTTATAGTAGGTGCTCACAGTTCATCTACAATAAATATTTGTCATAATCGGAGTCTACAAGGAATATTGTATTAAGCTTTGGCTCAGTAATGGTCACCTATTATGGATGGGCAATTTGAGCTCAATATAGTGAGTCTGCAGCCTGCGGGAGGGTCTTGTAGTCAGGGTGCTATGTTTTCTAGGGAGGTCACAGAATCTCCACTGTATTAAAATGAATCAACTTCTTAACTCAAAAATATTTGTGTGTGAGTCAGGTTTTGAATGAGATTAATGCAGATCCCTCTGGTTTTGATTTTTTAGGTTCTGAAGTATCAGTTTCAAATGTCCTTTCAGTGTTTCGTGGGCTCTGCCCTCTGCAGTCATGTGATAATCTGCATGATCTTGTCTCTAAGATAGGTACTCTTTCATCACTTAGACATGTCTGGCTCCAAGGACTTCTGCTAGTCCTCAGTGATTTCTCATCAGCGTTAGGCTTCCCGTTGGTTCTGATGAGCATCTCAGAGCAATTGGGGAAGGTACTGATGGATTATAGATCATTTGCCTTTGTTTAACAGAACACATGTAATTTTTATCTGAACTCTAAAGACTGAGTAAGCCTTACAGATTTCCTTAGTGGTGAAGGAAGTGTGAAATGGATCATTTGAAGACTTGTATACTGTTTAAAAGTTATCTGAAACTTGGAAACTAAGCAAATCATTACTTCTCATATTCAGAGTTGTGCATAGAGACTTGTCAACTGCATCACCTCAGATACTCTAGAATGTAGGTCAGCAGATTGGGTCCTGTGGGTCCAATCTAGTTACTGTTTTGTTTTTACTCATTTATTTATCTTATGGAAATACAGGCTTGTTCATTCATCACATATTACCATAGCTGCTTTCATACTATAAAGTTAGATGGATCTGATCAAAATCATATGGCTCAGAAAGCTTCAAATATTTGCTATCTGGCCCTCTGTAGAAAAAGTTTGTTGGTCTCTGCTGTAGGCGAAAGTAACTTTGACTTGCTATGAACTATTGATTTGTACTCAAATCCTCTGAAGTCAGATGTTACCTTAGGAAAGATCAACAAGTTCCACGTATTTTGTTTGGTAGAAAAGGTAACTGCAAGAATTAGCATTGTCTTGCCTCATAGGGCATTCTTTTCTTCTGCTGATTTTGTGTATCAGTTTCTCTCTGTCTTTTGTGGAGGGGAGGAGAGGGCTGGCACTCACCATAGGCACATCCCCAGGCTTCTTCATGCCCTTTGAACCAGCCTTGTCATTCTGCTCATTCTCTTATTAGCAAGTTAAACAAACCTTTGGCACATGCTCACAGTATATTTGTGAGGCTTTTATTTTTCTTGTAGAAAATTATGCAATGACTGAGGCCTGCCAGGTTTCCTTAGGACTGTGCTGCTTAGCCCTATGAGCCTCAGTATTTCAGCCAAATTGCCTTTTCACCCATGTAATATTATCTACATGACACAGATTTGTAGTCATTTAAAATTTGTTATGTGTAAATACTTTTCTCACTGCAGAGCACAATATGAAATGTTGAATATTACTTCTTGACAAAACTTGACCTAAAACTTACGTATTAAATCATGTGTATAGTCTTGTGATGTGTGAATTTCAAATGAAGGCTCAATGCTTTGACATCTGTATTCAGTAGGTTTGTTTTATGTGTGTGTGTATGTGTGTATGTGTGTGTGTGCGTATGCACACCTGAGCTTGAATTCAG